TGTGTAAACTGGTGCATTTGCAAAAGTTGTCATCATAGCTAGTCAAATCTGCAATCATTTGCGGTGACAACTGACGTTTTGCCTGGGTGAGACATGATCGGTGCTCGTCTTACTTCTGGATGCATGGACACAATCCATGTCATGCACCTGCACATCTCAGTCTTGTGCTATCATTCCCATAAATACTATAAAACCTTTCTTGGTGGTAAATCATTATTCCTACGGACGAACAAGGATTGATCTCTCCGTATGGATTACTTAGCTGCTTGGGCCAAACGAAAACGTGCCATTTGTCGCCCCATTGCTCCATCGCCTCAGCTAGCTGCGCATCCAGCTCCTGTCGCTTCGCCATGAGCTCCTTCGGCTGGGGGGCGCCGAGTCCCCTTGTGCTCTGTAAGTGCTGGACCCAATAGTTTGAGGTTAGGTGTGAAGCCTCACATGGGGGGCTCAACCCAAAGCATGTTGCAACATTGTTGACCCAAACTCATCTTTGCATTAGCTTCCCACGGCGAAGACAGAAAGAAGAAAGAGAAGTACATGCTGCAAAAACAAGACTCTCATTTCGGACCAAATCATCAAGTCATATCCTCAATGTCAGCCACTCACACGAAGCAAGAGGAAATTAGCAGCAATGCTGGACCCGGCCTGAGATTCCAAACTTGGTTTAAGGTGTCTTAAAGATCCAATCGCGGAACCTCCGCTAGCTAAAAAACCTGAGTTTGCTGTAGGACTGTATCTTCCTTGAAAATGTCCGGATAACAACATATAAAGGATGAAAAAAGTGTTTGTTGGAAATCCTCCAACAAAACAAACATGCTTTTGAATGATCCTACCACTTCAACTCTCAAGAAAAGGAGATCGGTCGCCTGTTACTCTTAGGCCCTAGCGGCCCTAGCGCCTCCTCCTTTTTTGCCAAATCCTTCTGTTGCTCCATAGCGGCACGCTGCTGCTCCTCGCTCAGACTCATGACAGTTATGACACATAGGCTGGAAGACATAAGCTTTGCCATCTTGGCGCCACGAACCGTCCTCAAGCTGCAGCTTTCTGCTCCCTTGTGCCTCCAGAGATTTGGTCATGCTGCTCCAGGATTTCTGCACCTCAGAGTCAGTCTGGTTGGAAGCAAATCAGTCAACATCCATATATAGTGATATGCATAACACTGCATAACTATTGAGCAGCTGGCTTTGTCCTGAAGCACACCGAAGGAAAAATCGTCGTTATGAGGGTCCTGAGCGTACCTGATTTCTCCACCATATGTTGCAAGATGTTGCAAGCACAATGTGTGTCTCAGAATGACCCCTGTTCGATCATGTTCAGATCTTTGTGCTTCCATCACCTTTGGCAAAAAGGAATATTGAATAGTCTGAGTTGGTGGCTCATCTAACTGTGAGGAGTCCTTGGATGCCTCCGCCTCCAACTCCAGCAAGACCTTCTTGAAGGCCTGTGGTCAACATCTCAAGATGGCTGTGATGATGAAAGACACCTGTCACCCGATGTTCACCAAAATCATTAGACCATCGTGAAGAAAACCCATAAACCCCTGCAGTGCACACTGCTGGTGAACCACCTTCAACGTTTCAGTTCAGGTTACTCAAGTCACTCCACCTATGAAGGACGATGCGGCTTTTTGGGTGGTCGCCATCGTCCATTTGCCCCAGAGCTTCTTGTTACTAGTAGCGATGCCAGGAGCCCCTAGTAGCGTCCT